CCCCTAAATACATACATACATACATACACCCATACATACCTAATGTATATGTACATATATAATGAGAGCTATAGATATAAATGTATTGCTATATATACACACATGTATTCATATGTGTGTGTATTGTATGTGACCATACAATAGTAATTCATATTTATATGAATATTTGTACGCTCTTTAACCTTTCCAAAGCATTTTCCTCACAACAGCTCTGAAGTAAAAAGTATGAATATTGTTATTCCCACTTTACAGATGAGAAAGCTCAGTCCCAGAGAGTTAAATTACTTGTCCAAGATCACAGAGCAGTAAATGTCAGAGCTAAGATTGAAACCCATGTGTCTTGACTCACAATCCTGCACATACACACCATCCTACACTATGCTGTTTTGCTTGTATATTAGTGTCTGTGAGTTTGCCTACAAACAATCAGAGTCACATTCCCTTCTGCCTCCCTTATTATATGTACCAATTGACAAAGGATCTCTGTTTCTTCCTGCCCAGTCTACTATTGGTCACAGCAATGCCTCCACTCTGTCAAGTTCATGCCCTGGAATTAGTGATGGATCTCTAAGCCTGATTTTGCCATCAATGCAATGACTGCCCTAGACAAGTGGTGTCAAAATCATTAGAAACTGGAGCCACTGAATGGTACATAAAGATCCCTGTGGGCTATGTAATGACTCAGAAGACTGCATTTTAACATTATCAGTGAATGTTCTGTTGTATTTTTACTTATGTTGTTAAATATTTCCCATCGACATTTTAATCTGGTTCAGGTGCACTTGGGAGTTGATTGCCTCTGTCTTAGGCTCTTCCCATCATCAGAGCAGTCTTTCAAGCCATGGCCAAGCAGATTCAGCTTGAGCCAAAGCCAGGCCACCCCACCCCAGAGAACCTACTGTTCTCTGGAACAGTAGGAAGGAGTAAGCTGTAGGTGTAGTCAGAATTTGAAATGGGAGAAAAAAACACCTCCACTACCCTCCACCTCCCTCCTATGATCTTAAGAGAAGGATGAAATCAGGAACTTAACTATTTTCTGACCTCTGGTATTCTATCATATGAAGGTTATTACTAATTGGTGCTGAAACATATCTGTAGCTGATGAGCTCTGTGGGTTACACCAGGTACACAACACCTTGCAAATAGCAGGTGCTCAATAAATGTTTTCTGAATGAAATTGACTTAACTGGCACAAATGAAGCTAAAACAATGACACCCCTATCAACCCATCAATCAATTAAAAAACCTTTATTAATTACTGAATGTAGGTCAGCTGGTATACTAGGTGCTGGTGATATAAATACGAATCATTAAATAATCCTTATTTTCAGATAGCTTACATTCTATTAAGGAAGTCAATGAGTATATACTGAAGAAATATAAAGAGAATAAATTCAATTAAATTAAAGGTGGTTAAATACAAGGTAGAGCAAGAGCACTAGCAGTTGAGGTGGTAGTGGGTAAATAAGGAAAGACTTTATGTAGAAAGAGCAATTCTTGAGGGAAGATGAGGGTTCTATGAAGTAGGGGTGAGGAGAGATGAGTTCCAGCATAAGAGATGGCCAGTGCAAAGACATGGGACCAGGAGATGGGTGAGGGATAGAGAGGAGGATAATTGGGCCCATGTGGATCAATTGGCTTTGCTCGGTCCCTTAATCACAGAACTACATCTCTAATCCTGGCCAATAGTCTCAGAAATGAGTACCATCATTCATGAGGGAGAATATGGCCTAACATGTGGGATGGCCAGAACTCTCCCACTCCTAGAAAAACAGCCCAACATGCAGATTTTGTTGGCTGACTATAAAGCAGCATCATTCTCATCTACAAAATGTAGTTATATCATCATGGAAATTAGGGAAGGATGGCCAGTAAAAAAAGATTTCCTGGATCTGAGGGTTGTAAGAAAAGGACTCTGAAGATAATTACAGAATCTCCTTCCTTAAAAATATCTAAGAATAGGATATGCATCTGTCCAGGCTGATTTGGGCCTGCTCTTGCTCAGAGGAAGGGCAATGGGCCCATTTGTTCCCCAGTCTGAGAACTGGGCTGTGCTATATAGCTGCCCATTCTTCTCTCCCTTTGTCTCATCCCAACCACCTATGGTGGGGATTGTCTAATGGAATAATGAGAAAATCACCAGGTAAGCATTGGAGATGCTGCCTAGAGACTGCTGTATTCCCTCATCCCCCACCTTATTCTCTAGGGCATTGGGAAGAGTCCTCAGATTCTGATGGTAGTCTTGACTGTTGGCTACAGTGACACAGGGCCCTGTGGAAAAACTCTCTCCCCTCTCTTGTCACTGGGTAGCCTCCCCTAGGAAGTAAAGTAACCCCTCTCTTCTCAGGAGCATAAGCCCAGGTCCCAGTCCCAGCTGGGGTGGGTGGTCAGAGGCAAGAAGGGAGAGTGAGTCAGAGCCAAGAGGAGAGGCCATCTCCTGAGAGGCAAGTGAGCTCACGGTATGTCAGGTTGGACTAGAAAAATACACCATCTTCCATCAACAAACACCTTTGGCATCTTGTTCACTTTCATTTTTATCCCTCACATCCTCCTCCTAAGTGGCTTAACATGGAATCGTAGGCACAGTCTTTTTTATTTCCTTCCCTACCTTCCATCTTCACAACTGCTTCTTCCTTCTCAAATAATCCCTCCATTCCCAAGTCATTGCAGTACCTTCCTCTACCTTCCCCTACCTGGGGTATCATGCACCCGAGAACAAAGCTGGTTTGGGGTCTGCCACCTTTGGGCCCCCCC